ACCCCCTGGTGTGGGGACAAGAACCAAAAGAAGGTAGTGCCGAAACCCAAGCCAGACCTCCGTTTTTTCACGCCCACAGGCTCAGCTGAATCCGCTTCTGCTAAGGGCTGGGCCCCCAGAGCGACTTGAGACTTTTAGGGGGGTTCGCTTGACGGTTTGGAGTTCAAACTTGAGGCCTGCAGTTTGCAGTAAAGTTGGAGGTCCAGAGTTCTGCTGTGTTCAAGATGGCATCAGGGAGGAAATAGCGGAAGGAGCCTAAGCGCTAGCCCTACATATTCTGCTTGAAAAAAATCACATCACGCGGCCTAATAAGTTCCCAATACACTTGAACTCCAAGGAGCAGGGTTTCAACGTCTCAGGGCTATGGGCTTCAACAAGTAGTCCAGGCATTCTTGGGCTTTCAGAAGGACCCTGGTGTGGCTCTGTTGCAACAGCTTTCGCTTCAGCGTTCTTGCAATCTCACAGGGTCGACTTCGCCCCGTGGCCAAGGTCCGGCGCTCTGGTCAGCCGCAGGCCAGGATGCGCCACATAGCAGACATAGCATGGCCCAAGCATCTTTTTCTCTGGTCACGTTGGCATGCAGGTCGTTCAAGCCCAAAGTTTCAGTTCAACCACGACAACGTCCTAGTCTTTTTGAAGGGCCTGACCAATGCCGCCCTTAGCACCACTAGAACCTATGCAGACTATTTTCGGACCACTCCACCCTTTCTTCTGGGCTTTCCATGACTCCATGAGCACTGGTCAGGCACTGCAGGTGCAGGTGCACAACCTGAACCCCATGGAGGCCGGGCAATCACGACTTGAGCGTCATCCCTTGCCCTCACGGCCCCCACACTAGCCTGCTTCACTAAGATGTTTTGAGAGCAGGGTTGGGTCCGGTTCTCCAAAGGAATGCGATGACTGCCGAACCTCAAGAAGCAACACGTACCCACGATCTTAAACCCAAGCAAAAGCCCAACTCATAAACCCCAAACATAGCCTCTTTTTTGCTCAGCTTGCTTCAGGCTCTGGTAGGTGTTCCTGGTTGGTTATCATTTTGCAATTGTGAGGTCGTTCCTTTCAAGAGATATACCCTGGTGACGTCGGTTTCGGCTGGTGGGCACCAGCCCCACTGGTCGCCGGCCCTTCGGGTTAAGGCAACCGTGATGGGGTTGTTTAGCATCGATGGCTTTGGGTCGCAGTAGAACTGGGTACTCACTGCACTCACCCTCCATATCCTCTACTTATTTCAGAGTGTTTTCTAAATATTTGGCAAAGCCCCCTAACCCAAGACCCTAAACCCATCCCTATACCCGTCTCCCCCCTGATCGCTGTCACATCAATCGGTGCAGGCCTTTACCTCTCCATCACTTACTATGCTCTCGGCGCGCAGCCTCGGGGGTTTAGGGTTAAGGGCCGACTATGGCCGACTGTTGGATGATACTCGTGCAGATGGTCTTGAATGCTGAATAGTAACGCTTTTGGCATGTTCCTACCCTGTCTTCAAGAGCAGTAGAGTCCTGAATGGTCCCCGAATAAACTCCCTCTCTTTCCCCCCCACGTTCCCGAGCAGAAGCCTTTGTCCCTCAAGCTTGGCCGATGGCGATGTGCGGCTAGTGGCTAACGGCCCGTGTTTGGTCAAGTTACTTGTCAAGTTTTTGAGCGTCTGAAATCCGAAACATGTCCTCTCAGGGGGCTTGCTGCCTAGAGTGTTGATGCAGTGTTGTGCTCCTCTTGTCAACTTGTAGGGCTGCCACATCACCCTCAAGCCCAGAACACCCCCCCCCCTCCCCCTCCCTAAACTGTAAACTTACTGAACCCGGAAAGACATCATTTCGGAGTCAAGAGTCCAATAGTTTACAACGTTGCCTCTCGTTGTTGCTGACAAATCCGAAGCCTTCAGAGCTCCACAAAGTCTGAGCTCCCCTAAAATCTGGGATCCCCAAGAGCCCTAAACCTCAAAACCCCCAATTGCCTCTAAATCCCCTAACACAAACACTGCACTGCTTCTCTGCTTCCTAACAAAGATCTCTGAAACCTTTGCTGCAGGGCAATGGCGGCGTGAACCTCCTCCCGTGGAAGTCCTCGATTCTTCTGCTGCCGCAGGCCAAAGGGAAGAGCAATAGCAGCAGCAACAGCTTGAGCAACAGGCACAGCAAGAACAGCAGCAACGTTTGGATTCAACGTTCCTGGCTATACTGGGCCACTCCCGACACAGTGAAGTACCCAGACAGCCCGAATTTCCGAAAGCCTGGAGCCCTAACCCTGAACCTCCGTAAACCCTAAACCCGGGTGAGGATGTCGGGAATCACCTGCGTCGAAATCTGTGTCACCTCCACAGGTGCTAAGGGGCTCCATAGGCCTTCGCTAGACATGAAAGTCTCCTTGGTGTGATGGGGCAGGAACCGAGAGGTCATTCAGCCGAGTAATCCTGAACCCGCCGCCTTGCTTTCCTTGTCTGCGATGGGGTGTGACGAAGGGGAGGCAAAACCAATCTTGATGAGCAGGCTTGTCGGCTCCCAAAGGCCAGACACTCATCAACTGCCCATCCGACCAGGATGTTGCGTAGCAGCATGAAATGAATCAGCATGCTCTCGGGCAATGAGGTGGCAACCGTGCCAGTTGTACAGGCGAATGCGGCGGGGGACCTGAAGCGATGCTTACACCGGCTGCCTGGCCGGCCTGGAGACTCTTTCGCCAAGCGCGTCTCTAGCAACCTTGCTATTTGCGGCGTGAGAAATGCGCTTTGTATTGGTGAAAGCTGCAGCGCCTGCCAGTACATTCGATGGTTCGGCTGTAAATATCGCCAGGGTTTAGGGGATTCGGGTTTTAGGGCTCCGTGCCTGGATGCCCAGTGTGTGTTTGGGACACATCGGCCATGGATGCGCAGTCCACACGTATGCAAATTGTTGGGACAAGGATGCTCTCCAGTTGTTGCCGTAGCCTTGGTGGAGTCGTTCGGTTTCGACTCGGTCAGCTGCAACGCCTGTGTAGCATCGAGGGTTGTTGGTCTTTGCTTGTTCTCGAGTTCTCATACACACAGTGCGGTTTGCCAGCATGCGGATGCTCACATTCGCCGTCATTGCAAAGCATCTGCCTCTGCGGGAGGTGGACTTCAATTGCACAGCAGGCCGGGAAGCGGTGCAGTGTGGAGAGGTCCTGAGTCCACTTCAGGATATCTGGGTAGATTTGCTGAAGCCCAGAAACCTGTCCCGAAAACCCCGACTGAACTGCTGCCTCGCCGGCCATGCCGAGCAGGCAACGATCGCAAGCCCAACCCGAAGGACGCTCCAAGACGGGTTGAATTGCGGGAAAGAGTTGAGCGTTTCGGGTGGAAAGGTCGTCCGCTCTCGCGTGGGCGTAGCGTTTGAAGGGCACGCATGAGATTTTGGGAATGAGGGCTTCTTCGAGCTCCGGCGGACGTATGGTGGGGACATGAGATCAGGGCGCACACACGGTTTTGGAGGACTTGGTGGCTACTGTTTCAGCACACTCCCTAGACAGAAGACACGGGCCGCTATGTGGCATACGTAAGCTTGCATCACCCGCAGTTTCCGAAGCCGTTGAGTGGTGCAATATTCACACAATTCACTCCATGTCGGTGTCAGAGTTGCAGTTTGAAGTTGGGGCAAGCACGGGTTTGGACAGCTTTGCGCAACCTCCATCATCAAGCGGCCAGGTCGACAAGAAGAAGGGCCACCGAGCAAAGAACGCGATGGCTCCGCCCCTCGGCGAACCTATATGGGCTTTTTGCATTCTGCCACAGGCGTAGTTGTTTGGGTTTACAATGTTGTCTCATTCTTCGAGCCGGGGGAGGTTTGAGCTGTATTTTCGTGCGAATGACCATGCACTCTACACCCTAAGTTGCTGAAGTTTAAGGCGAATCAGTGTGCATCTTGAGCAGTACCCTTGAGGCTCACACTTTATCATGCCTGCCTCAGGACGGCCTCGACAGCGGGAAGGAAACGACGAGGCTTCCGAAGCGTCGTCACGGTCACCCTGAAATGTGACGTCAAAATAGTCCAGTTGTGTGGACGTAGGTAGGTCTGGCAGTTGAAGTTTGTTGGTGGCATCCTTTGGCCTGGGAACTGCGCGTATGGTGCTACAAGCAAGTCACCACAAGCCCTATTTGAGGCTGCTTGATCCCTGCCCCTAAACCTTCTGAACTCTTAACACGTTCTTAAAGCATTCTGAAGACATTGTACAACATCCCCCCCCCCCCCCCCCCCCCCCCCCAATGAAGCCGCAGTTGGTTCAGCTGCGGACTGTGGAAGCCCGAAACAGCAAACTCTCACTCTCCAGTCTGTGTGTGGCGCCACCTTGTACCCAACCCCCGAAAAAGGGTAGCTTTGTCATGATATGGTTACTGGGCTGCTAAGAAGAACTGCCACCATGCATTGAGCGACTACGCACGGCGCGACTCTTCAACGCCCAAAAATCAGCAGCTCAATCCTCTCAAGCCATTTCTTGGGATGTTCACCCTTATACTAGCAGTCCTTAACAAGGATACTAGTGTCCCCTAGTAAAATCCGAATCAAGGACTGTTAGTACAAAGGGGAACCTCCCGAGCACCATCCCCCACATCCTCGGACGAGTGCTCCCCGAGGCTCTCCCACGGGCTCAAAGACCACTGCAGGGTCGATGGCGGCTCGGATCTCGGTGCGTCGTATTAGTTTGTGTTTGCAAATGTTTGCGTTTGCGTGGTTTTTGTGTGCGTGTTGTAGGGGGCCTGTGGTTAGGCACGTGCAGTAGCGCATGCGGAGTCTGAGGGCGGAAGCCGTGAGACTCCAGAACAACAGCAGCCGCCAGCAGCACAGCGCACGTTAGATTAGTTCACAGCTGAACACAGCGGCCCCAACAGGCCCCATGTCATCGTAGGCTTCCACGAACTTTTGTCAAAGGCACAGAGGCCTTGATGACACCCGAACGCCTCAGGGATGATAGGGGCCATCGGAGCCTGGATGGTGGTCTAGTGCTGCTCCACCCGAGCGTGATCCAGAATTTGTGCCCTGCGAGAGCCCATGCCATGGATGACTGCAACTTTGGGCGTTGCAATTATTCTGGACCATTCGGAAGCAGCCCAAAGCCTGCTTTCTGAACTGGTCGAGAGCAGCAAGCCTCACTTGAGGAAGGACTTGCAGGCGCGTTGCCTAAAGTGAACCCCTTCGCATCTAGAATCCCGACCCCGCTATTACTCGTACAGCATCGGAAAGCCCAAGTTGGAGCCATTAGCAAGACCAAACGCCCTATTGTTCTGAGAGACAGAAAGATACAGTGCTTGCGACATTCATTGAGCGCAGTTAAGTACAACATGACAACATGTTCCGGGTCAGAACCAGTACCATTCGCATTATGCCAGCTACATAGTGTTTATGACTGGTCGGCCTTTTCTCGAGTCTAGTGTGTTTGTTCCTATGGTCGGCAGCTTGGGTTTTTCTTGGCAGGGTTGGCGCCTGGTCCTCTTTTTGGTCCCATGGTCGTCTTGGTCTCATGGTCCTCTGGCCTCTGGTTGTCCGATCCCCGTCCCGCGAACCCCTGGCTTCTATTCTCGCCGAATCACCTGGTAGATCGAAAGGGTGTAAATTAACACCCGAAACCAATTTGCACCCAAAAACGGGTGCAATTTACTTTGTCGCAAACTTGGGGGGGGTGGGGGGGGGGGGGGGGGGGGGGGGGGTGTAAATTTACACCTTCAATTCACACCCCGGGGTCTACATTTTTTTGTTTCCCGCAACAAAAGTGTATACATTTTTCTATTTGTCCCTGCAAGACTGAGGACTCTCGGTTTCCAGGATAGATACACATGTAGCAAAAACGCATCTGGTCAATTTCATCCCCCACCCTCCACCGTTTCTTCTCGGAGGCCTTCGCACACTGCTTCCCTGACGACTATCCTTTCGGCTACCGTAGCCAGGTTGCGCAGCACTCGTTTGCATTCTTTTTTGCAGGTTGCTAGTAGGGGGAAGAATCATGTAGACGAATCCTTTCCCGATAAGCGGTGATTTTTCTCTGAGCCCTACTCTGGATTTACATGAAACCTTTGCTCCGTCGAGTGCGGGAGCCTAGGAAAGTGCTGTCGGGATCAATACACCCCGTGGTTCAAAGAACACATGGAAGAAGTCTGCTGGGATGTGGTTGCGAGCATTACCTTTCAGAGACTTGGCGCTTTGGAGGACTAGAAGGAGCGTGCTATTCTTAGCAGGGCTGGGCTGAACTCAAGACTTGAAACCGTGCTAAACCCTAACCCTAAATCCGTGCACCTTGTGGTGGGGGGTTTGGGGTTTTGGCTTGGGGCAGTTGCTTGCTACTTCCAACGGTGCGTACAAACTGAACCTCTCAAACTCCAGTTGAGGAATTGCTGTGTCTTCAAGTTCGGCCCCGAACTTCGAGGTGCGGAGATTTTGTCTTTAGGGGTTAGGGTTTAGGCGGGTTTAGGGTTTAGGGTCGTTTCGAGTTTTTAGGGCTCAGGATTCCAGATGTGTTCAGGCCTTCCCTTCCCTGGTCACGAAGTCGCGCCACTTGCACCTGCGGAGTTTGACCTTTCTGTGGGCCGCCTGCGCTTGAGGCCAGGGTTTTGGGTTTAGGGTTTAGGGTTTATTGTTTAGGGTTTAGGCGGTTTAGGGTCCAGGGTTTAGGGCGCCCCTTTTTAGGGATCCTGGGCTTGAGTTTTCCTTGACGCAGCTTGAGCGTCCTTGAACACCGAGGTCCAGCCTGGATGCCCGGCCCGAGGAGGCCGTGGAAAGCTTTTGGCCTGGCGGCTGGAGTCTGGGTCATTGTTGAAGATCAAATTACGTTTTCGTTCAATATTATCCCAACTATGGTTCAGGAGTCCTGGCCTACACCTACAACCTTAAGAGCTGTTGTTGTGAGGTCAGTATTTTGAAAGGTTTGGCAGAGTTGCCAAAGGGGGCGAGGATTTGAGGCTTCCAGGGTTGTGGCCCTCCAGGCCTCCAGGCATTGAGCTTCATGTTCGGGTCACGGTGCTTGTGGCACAATCCCCTAAACCCAAAAGCCTGAACTCTAAACCCTGAACCCTAGTCATGCTGCAACCTTAGACGGCTCTCGACCTTTTTTTAAGGATTTACGCACAGCTGGCCGCAGACCTCCCGACAGCGATCCAGGACTGCACAGGTTTCGGCTGGGTGGCCGGAGCACAGGCGGCACGCGGTTTGTTGTGGCTTCGAGAGTTTGCTTCATAGACTCATAATGTTCAGGGAGGTTTTGGAGTCTGTCAAGGGCATCCAGCAGATGAGATGGCAAAGTTTCCTGGCAGAGCTTTTCCTGGGAGGCCCTGCAGCCTCTTCGTGGAGGTTCTCTTCGGATCCTCGACGTCAGCTGTGGGCTCGGATTGAGTTCTATTGCTGCAGCCCGGGCTGGCCACAACGTCACGGCCACGGAAGTGTCGCTGGACTTGCTCCGGGTGGCGGGCCGAAACGCGCAAAGGAATCGCGCGCGGCTGCGTCTGCAGCGATGGGACTTGTTGAGAGCCGCGCCAGCTTCTTCCGCACATCTGCCACAACTTCCGCTGTACGACCTCTGTTTGGTGGACATCGGCTTCGCAAACGAGCGCTTCCGGGCGGCGCAGCTGGGCTTGGATGTTGAGGGCAAGCCCACCGTGGAGGCGGTTCTGGCAAGAACGCTCCGGCAGTTGCGGCAGCTGGGAGGCTGTCGGCTTCATGCCTTTATTGGGAGTACCATTGTTCATGAAGCCCATGGCGTCCATGGGATCTATGAACATGGCGACGTTGCATTTGCAAACTTTACCGCGGAGCTGCTTCGTCGCCCAGATCCACAAGCAAAGGTTTCTTGAAGTCCAGGCCGTCCGTAAGGACCGAAGCCCGGAAAGTGTTCTCCACTCTATAAACCGACAGTGGCCCATGAGCCCCATGAGCCCCATTTAAAGCCCTCCCTCTTACATCTTGGCAGCTTGGCACCCTCAGCCCTCAGCCAAGGTGGGTTGGCGAAGTTGGGAGCCGGGATGCGGCAGGCAGTGGTGAGTCCGCTGGGTTGGCTCGAAACTGGGCTGGAAGGCTTGCGCTTGCGAGGGTTTTCAGGCTGGTTTGGGTGTGAGGGGGGGGTGGGGAGGTTTCCTCTTTTTTTTCTCGAAATTCCCCGAATTCTATCTACCTGGAAATAGCAAAAAGTGTGATCCCAGTTTCCCCTCCCCCGTCCACGACCTGAAGCTGCGGAAGCTGCGTGCCAGCCCAGGAGCGAGTGGGATGGACACCACCCATTTGGCACCACTTGATCCTGTGGTAGAAAAGGATGGTCCGAACAGGGCTTGCAGGGCTTTAGAAGGCTTTGGAAGCACATGCCGCAGGGTGCTGGAGAGGTATCGAACACCTGAAGCCCACCCTATAAAGCTTTGTGAAGCGCATGCGAAGCCCCTATGACGCACCAGGGAGGTATTCTGTTTCTTGGCCCGTCGTGGGGGGTGTGGGATTTCGGGCGTAGTATTCCTTCAGCGTCCTTGGTGTTTGTGGGTGCAGGCTTTTTTCCTGACCCAATCTGAAACTCCAAAGTCTCGGAAAGCCCAAGCGCTGCCAGACTTTGGAGGTCAGGAGGCCTCTTTTGCAAAAGTTGCAACCGGTGACTCTCGTGAACCTGAGGTGCCATGTTCTTTGCATGTAGACTGAGGACTATCATAGACTCTGTCAGAAGGACCCTTGCAGTCCTCAAGGTCCCAATCCCCTGCTGTAACAACACCCTGGAACTTGCTAACGCCTTTAGCCAGAATCAAGCTTCAACAACTGATAAAACCGATCTCCATCAAAATCCGCCAGCCTTAAACTCTTTGCTGCCCAAGGTCGCGAATGTGTCCTCAGAGGACCGGCGGTTGTGAGGGCCCGGGTGCGGGTTGCGGATTTTGCTTGTTGCGAGTCCCTGCTCCAATTTCATGGCTCCGAGGTGGTTGTATATAAGGAGGCTTCTAGACGAGTACTTGTTGCACCAGCAAATCAGTTCTTGCCGTGTCCTGAACCCTAAAAAACCCTAAGCTATTAATAACCGGAAGAAGAAGAAGAAGAATAATAAGAATAAGAATAGGAATAGGAATAAGAATAAGAATAATAAGCTATCAACTCCGAATCTGGAAGCAGGCAATATCACCAGGGGCAGCCGTCGACCAAAGCCAAGGTACCTCAAGCCGTACAAGAAAAAGAGGACATCATCCAGCGAAGCACCCAGCCCAAATTGCGACAGAATGCCAAGTTCCAAGCCAAATTGTAACAGAAAGCCGGTGCGGTCAACCAGCCAGCACCAAGTTCCAAGCCAAATTGAAACAAAAAGCTGGTGCGGGCCACCAGCCCGCACCAAGTTCCAAGCCAAATTGTAACAGCAAGCTGCTGCGGGCCACCAGCCCGCACCAAGTTCCAAGCCAAATTGTAACAGCAAGCTGGTGCGGGCCACCAGCCCGCACCAAGTTCCAAGCCAAATTGTAACAGAAAGCTGGCGTGGGCCACCAGCCAGCACCAAGTTCCAAGCCAAATTGAAACAAAAAGCTGGTGCGGGCCACCAGCCCGCACCAAGTTCCAAGCCAAATTGTAACAGCAAGCTGGTGCGGGCCACCAGCCCGCACCAAGTTCCAAGCCAAATTGTAACAGCAAGCTGGTGCGGGCCACCAGCCCGCACCAAGTTCCAAGCCAAATTGTAACAGAAAGCTGGCGCGGGCCACCAGCCAGCACCAAGTTCCAAGCCAAATTGAAACCAGAAGCTGGTGCGGGCCACCAGCCCGCACCAAGCTCCAAGCCAAATTGTAACAGCAAGCTGGTGCGGGCCACCAGCCCGCACCAAGTTCCAAGCCAAATTGTAACAGCAAGCTGGTGCGGGCCACCAGCCCGCACCAAGTTCCAAGCCAAATTGTAACAGAAAGCTGGTGCGGGCCACCAGCCCGCACCAAGTTCCAAGCCAAATTGTAACAGAAAGCTGGTGCGGGCCACCAGCCCGCACCAAGTTCCAAGCCAAATTGTAACAGAAAGCTGGTGCGGGCCACCAGCCCGCACCAAGTTCCAAGCCAAATTGTAACAGCAAGCTGCTGCGGGCCACCAGCCCGCACCAAGTTCCAAGCCAAATTGTAACAGCAAGCTGGTGCGGGCCACCAGGCCGCACCAAGTTCCAAGCCAAATTGTAACAGCAAGCTGGTGCGGGCCACCAGCCCGCACCAAGTTCCAAACCAAATTGTAACAGCAAGCTGCTGCGGGCCACCAGCTCGCACCAAGTTCCAAGCCAAATTGTAACAGAAAGTTGGTGCGGGCCACCGGCCCGCACCAAGTTCCAAGCCAAATTGTAACAGCAAGCTGCTGCGGGCCACCAGCCCGCACCAAGTTCCAAGCCAAATTGCGACAGCAAGCTGCTGCGGGCCACCAGCCCGCACCAAGTTCCAAGCCAAATTGTAACATCAAGCTGGTGCGGGCCACCAGCCCGCACCAAGTTCCAAGCCAAATGGTAACAGAAAGCGGGTGCGGGCCACCAGCCCGCACCAAGTTCCAAGCCAAATTGTAACAGCAAGCTGGTGCGGGCCACCAGCCCGCACCAAGTTCCAAGCCAAAATTGAAACACAAAGCTGGTGCGGGCCACCAGCCCGCACCGAGTTCCAAGCCAAATTGTAACAGCAAGCTGGTGCGGGCCACCAGGCCGCACCAAGTTCCAAGCCAAATTGTAACAGAAAGCTAGTGCGGGCCACCCGCCCGCACCAAGTTCCAAGCCAAATTGTAACAGAAAGCTGGTGCGGGCCACCAGAACAAGCTGGTGCGGGCCACCAGGCCGCACCAAGTTCCAAGCCAAATTGTAACAGAAAGCTGGTGCGGGCCAGCCCGCACCAAGTTCCAAGCCAAATTGTAACAGCAAGCTGGTGCGGGCCACCAGCCCGCACCAAGTTCCAAGCCAAATTGTAACAGAAAGCTGGTGCGGGCCACCAGCCCGCACCAAGTTCCAAGCCAAGTTGCAACAGCAAGCTGGTGCGGGCCACCAGCCCGCACCAAGGGGGCAGGAGTGGGGGTGTCATTTCTTCCAAACGAACGGCGGATGCAACGCGAACTGGACACTAGCCCGGAAACGACGTGTTCTAGGGCTGCAACGCAAGCCCGCCTGCCCCCTGTCCTCCCTCACCAGCTTGCTGTTAAAAATTTGGCTTGGAACTTGGTGCGGGCTGGTGGCCCGCGCCCGCTTTCTGTTACAATTTGGCTTGGAACTTGGTGGGCCCGCGCCAGCTTTCTGTTAGAACTTGGTGCGGGCGGGTGGCCCGCACTAGCTTTCTGTTACAATTTGGCTTGGAACTTGGTGCGGGCTGGTGGCCCGTGCCCGCTTTCTGTTAGGAACTTGGTGGGCCCGCGCCAGCTTTCTGTTTCAATTTGGCTCGGAAGCCCCCCCGCCTCACCTCTTGCCCTTTACCTCATCCCAGCATCCAGGATCCGTTAGGTGGCCAGAAGTATGTCACCTTATTGCTCGAGCCCACGCGCACTTGCGTGCAGTGGATCTTAAGTCCACCCCCTTAACCACTCGGGCAAACTGACTGTGTCCTAAAGGCTACTTCCCTCCCTCCCAGCAAAGAAACACTCCAGATAGAGCGCGCCATCAGTTTGAAATTTTAGATGAATTTGCTTGTGAACAGGCAAAAGAGGCAGTGCAGCAAATTCACCGTTTGTAGGAGCTGAGAAAATCAAGTTTTGTGGATGGGATGCGCTTTGGGGGGAAAAACTTTAATTAGAGGATGTTTGCTGGCCGCACACGGATCAAGTGCCTTGCGATGTGAGCAAACACGCAGTCCCTCTTGTGCGCCTGAGGTCAGAAAAGTCCCTGTCAGTCATACAAGAGTGTGTGCTGGAGGCAGGATCCCAAGTTCCTTTAGCTCAGTGGTTAGAGCCATCAGTGGTTAGAGCGATGGTCTTATGAGCCATAGGTCGCGGGCTCAAACCCCGCAAGGAACATTGTTCATGATGTGAGGGAGGCGGTCGTGGGCAAGAAGGGGGTAGAGACGGTTCCGTTTCCGGGTGAGGAAAAGGGCAAGAAGAGGAGTCGGGCATTCACTGGAAAAAACACTTCAAAAAACACTTCACCTCTCAGTCTAAATGATCAAGGGTTCCACTTCATTTCCAGGTACAGGGGGGCAGCGGGGCTGGTTTTTGGGCCTCAGGATTTTAGGTCTTTCAATCTTCCCCTTCCCTGAACCCTTGCTCCCGTTTTTAAGGCTCTCTCCCAGCCCTCCCCCACTGCTCTAGCTCCCCCCCCCCGCTGCCCCCACTCTTGCCCGCCTCCCCCCCACCCCAACCAAGTTCCAAGCCAAAGTAACAGAAAGCTGGTGCGGCCACCAGCCCCCACCAAGTTCCAAGCCAAGTTGTAACAGCAAGCTGGTGCGGGCCACCAGCCCGCACCAAGGGGGCAGGAGTGGGGGTGTCATTTCTTCCAAACGAACGGCGGATGCAACACGAACTGGACACTACCCCGGAAACGACGTGTCTTAGGGCTGCAACGCAAGCCCGCCTGCCCCCTGCCCTCCCTCACCAGCTTGCTGTTACAATTTGGCTTGGAACTTGGTGCGGGCTGGTGGCCCGTGCCCGCTTTCTGTTAGGAGCTTGGTGGGCCCGCACCAGCTTTCTGTTTCAATTTAGCTCGGAGCCCCCCCGCCTCACCTCTTGCCCTTTACCTCACCCCACCGCCAGCTAGACGCATCCAGGATCTGTTAGGTGGCGAGAAGTATGTCAGCTGTGGGGCTCGAGCCCACGCGCACTTGCGTGCAGTGGATCTTAAGTCCACCCCCTTAACCACTCGGGCAAACTGACTGTGTCCTAAAGGCTACTTCCCTCCCTCCCAGCAAAGAAACACTCCAGATAGAGCGCGCCATCAGTTTGAAATTTTAGATGAGTTTGCTTGTGAACAAAGAGGCAGTGCAGCAACTTCACCGTTTGTAGGAGCTGAGAAAATCAAGTTTTTTGGATGGGATGCGCTTTGGGGGGAAAAACTTTAATTAGAGGATGTTTGCTGGCCGCACACGGATCAAGTGCCTCGCGAGATGAGCAAACACGCAGTCCCTCTTGTGCGCCTGAGGTCAGAAAAGTCCCTGTCAGTCATACAAGAGTGTGTGCTGGAGGCAGGATCCCAAGTTCCTTTAGCTCAGTGGTTAGAGCGATGGTCTTATGAGCCATAGGTCGCGGGCTCAAACCCCGCAAGGAACATTGTTCATGATGTGAGGGAGGCGGTCGTGGGCAAGAAGGGGGTAGAGACGGTTCCGTTTCCGGGTGAGGAAAAGGGCAAGAAGAGGAGTC